TCTGATTCTTGGTTCAATGCAGGACATATAGGGTAAAAAAGCTATTTAGTATAAGCGACATTTCGCTTAATACACGACGTATCTCGTTATTTTGTATTTTTATCAAGAATTGAATGTTTTTAACACAACTTCAGTTAAGTTTACCCCATTCAAATAGGTGAAGAAGTTTTTTTTTTTTGTTATGATATCTTTAAGAGATTTTTTCGAAAATTTAAAGTTTAAACTTTAAATAGCTCTCCTGTAAAGTTGCAAATATGCCGCTTAACCCAAGCTAGATGATGAACGAGCTTTGCCCGTTTTTTTTATTTTTTTTATTACGCCTTCTTGTTGTGTGTTTAAAGCAGTTAGTTGCTCTCAATTAAGAAAAAATAGTATTCTTATTCGCCAATAGATGTCGGGAAGAGTCATAAAGTTGGTTATCGATAAAGTTGATTATTGAAAACACGAATAAAACAACATTTTCTGAAAATAAATCGTAGCTAGATCGATTTATCGCCCCCGAAATCCCCCGTATACTAAATTTTATGAAAATCGTTGGAGCCGTTTCCGAGATTCAGATTATATATTAGGTATTACAGGAAGGTATTAGGTATATACAAGATATGCTCGTTTAAAGGTATAAAATAGTCTTTCGCTCCTCGATATCACAGCGCAAAATCACCATAGGGTTTTCGTATAAGATTAACTGTTCTCCAGTTTTAAATATCATTGCAGCTCAAAGACGCGTCGATTTTCGGCGTCCGTCTCAAAGCGCGGGATTCAAGTCACGTTTATCTTTGTTATGGCTACACGATTCAGCAGTCGCTTTAATCACAATCGATGACAATAAATAGCTATGTTATTATTTTGGTAAAACTATATTCTTTCCTGGAAATTGATTAGTTAGGAGTCATTTGGAAGGCAAAGCCAAGTTGGCGTCCAAAATGCTGGGAGTCCTCAACAGAGCGAAGCGGTACTTCACGCCTGGACAAAGACTTTTGCTCTATAAAGCACAAGTCCGGCCTTGCGTGGAGTACTGCTCCCATCTCTGGGCCGGGGCTCCCAAATACCAGCTTCTTCCATTTGACTCCATACAGTAGAGAGCTGTTCGGATTGTCGATAATCCCATTCTCACGGATCGTTTGGAGCCTCTGGGACTTCGGTTCCCTCTATATTTTGTACCGCATGTTCCATGGGGAGTGCTCTGAGGAATTGTTCGAGATGATACCAACGTCTCGTTTTTACCATCGCACCGCCCGCCACCGGAGTAGAGTTCATCCATACTACCTGGAGCCACTGCGGTCATCCACAGTGCGTTTCCAGAGATCTTTTTTGCCACGTACCATCCGGTTATGGAATGAGCTCCCCTCCACGGTGTTCCCGAGCGCTATGACATGTCCTTCTTCAAACGAGGCTTGTGGAGAGTATTAAGCGGTAGGCAGCGGCTTGGCTCTGCCCTTGGCATTGCTGAAGTCCATGGGCGACGGTAACCACTCACCATGGTGGGCCGTATGCTCGTCTGCCTAGAAAGGCAATAAATAAAGAAAAGAAAAAAAAAAAAAAAAAAAGTTAATACCACAACACGCCCTATTTAGAATCGACTCCGGAATTAATTTTTGTTTCCTTGATAGCACTCATCATCATAGTCGGTTACTCTTGGCAGAGCAGTCGTGGTCATGAGGAATTCTTGTTTATTAAAGCCTCGACAGATGCTCTCCATAGTTTGCGAACTAAGGCTTGACGCACGCACTCGTTAAGTGGGGTTTTAGTGAGGTCTTTTACCTGATCAATCCAGCGCATGGGGTTTCGTCCACAAGATCTTTTACCATTGACCCTACCCTGAACAACAAGTTTCTCGATAGACTCTGCTGACCGTCGCGATACGTGCCCAAAATACCAAAGAATTTGCACTGTTGACGCCAACTTTTGAGAGATATTAAGTTACCATCTACCAGCAGCAGCAGCAGCAGATAGCAAACTACCAGAGCATTCTTTGCGGATTTTCTAAGTTCGAGTATTTTTTCTGGAGCCTACCAAAGCAAAAAAGAAGGTAGAGAAAATGAGTTTTGTAACGGTGGTCGATACACAGTCACGGTGTATCAACCTACGGTTAATGATTAGAACAGAACGAATCTGAACTCGTGTTCTCGAGGGCTGGACGTTGAGAAAAAGGCAAACGTCAGTAATATAATTTCTAATGAAATACGTACTCAACAAATGTTCACGATTGACTCCCACAGTGAAGGAATAACATCGTGTAATAAAAATGAAACCCGAAAAATTATAATTTGCGAAATTACTGGTGGTAGGACCTCTTGTAAGTCCGCGCGGGTAGGTACCACCACCCTGCCTATTTCTGTTGTGAAGCAGTAGTGCGTTTCGGTCTGAAGGGTGCGGCAGCCGTTGTAACTATACTTGAGACCTTAGAACTTATATCTCAGGGTGGGTGGCGCATTTTGCGTTGTGGATGTCTATGGGCACCAGTAACCACTTAAGACCAGGGGGGCTGTAAGCTCGTCCATCCATCTAAGCAATAAAAAAAACCTTTTTCTTTAAAAATGATTATCAGTCTTAGATCGACGTACGGATGGTAGTCGCAAGCCGCTCACGTCGTATGACCTCCACTGCGCATCGTCGCTAGTTTAGAGCTTCCCCTTTCAGTTTTGTATGTGCACATCAAATATCATCAATAAGTCATCGTGGCCTAAAGGATAAGACGTCCGGTGCATTTGTATCTATCTAGCGATGCACCGGTGTTCGAATCCCGCTGGCAATTACCAATTTTTCTAATGAAATACATACTTAAAAGTTCACGATTGACTTCCACAGTGAATTAATAACATTGTGTAGTAGAAATCAAACCCGCAAATTTTAAATTTACGTAATTACTGGTGATACGACCTCTTGGAGTCCGCACGGGTAGGTACCACCACCCTGCCTATTTCTGCCGTGAAGCAGTAATGCGTTTCGGTTTAAAGGGTGCGGCAGCCGTTGTATCTATACTGAGACTTTAGAACTCATCCCGAGGTGGATGGCGGCATTTACGTTGTAGATGTTTATGGGCTGGAGCCCGTCGGCCGTGAGGTCGTCCACCCATCTAAGCAATAAAAAAAATTCTAAAAAAAAGAAGGAAAAAAACCATTAGGATTTTTCCTACATTTGTTTCATGTTTGTTGGTCGTCTCCTAGGTGATTTACAAGCCTTCAGAACAAGCTTTGGTCGATCGATGAAGGTTGTTTGTACACAGACTTCTCGGAAGCCGGCTGATGATGTCCCACTGTGAGTTTTTTTTTTAATACAATTTATAAAATCGAAGGGAATTGTGGTCTTTTTTTAAAACATTATAATAGTATTTATCTTAATTTAAAAAAAAATCCTCTGTTTTGTATTTACTCTAAAGAAAATGTTATTAAGCAAATCATCATATTTTCATTTTTTTTATTTCTTTACGATAATTTTATGCGTCTAATTAGGAATAGTGCTCGTGCCATAAGAATAGCTAATAGCACTGTATAGCAGTTGTATATAAGTTACGTGTCCTTGTATCCGATTTTCCACTATACCTGAATTAATAACGAGGATGCACCAATTAACTTAACTCAAATCGCATAAGTTCTAGCTCCTCTGTCCATCAGCAGAAATATAATTAAATAATAAAATAAAACACTAAAATTCCTTTGCCAGTTAATTTAATAAATACCTAAACTGAGTTTGAATTATGTTCAAGATATCCACTAGTAAGTTTTTTTAATTATTTGCATTTCGTTTTGTAAGAAAAAATTACTTTCCCAGAAAAATAACTTTGATTAGTGTGTAGTTTTCACGTGATAATGAGCTGTAATTAAGTTGATCGATACAAAAATGCAGTATTGGAAATATGTAACGTTTAACTTAGTGATAGCAGGCCTAGTGATTTACCCCGCAGAAGAGAATGGAAGTATCCAGAAAATACTTGGCTTTTAGTAGGTAAGGCTAAGAATAAATAAAAACCTCTTTGGAGGAAAACAAACTTTCTTGGAGGTTCCAAAGAGGTTAAACGGTTAAATAATTTGAAAGTCGTAGGTCGTTTGTAATTGCGAAGAAACTCTCTGATTTTTGTTTTAAAAAATATCTGTGTCCTGAAAAAAATTTGATACTAAAATCGATAATGATCCTTATTTATGTAAGCAGATATACAAATTACAATATGTCTGTTCTAGTTTCCAGTCGTAATATTTTCGTTATCATTTCATCTATGTTTATAAATACACTAATGGAGTCAGTGACCACGTTACATACCTATTTCTATTGTCATATACGTAACTTACATTTGACTTCATTGGATCTGTCAACTTCAATATTTAAAGGTTCATCGTATTGTTCAAACTACCTGACATATTATATTTTGGGCGTATTGTTAGCCCAAATACATAGGTCCCTCCTTCTTGCACCTGCCTCCCGTCGACAAAGTCCACTGAATTTCTCGCCGGTTCTTCTCAGTGGGTCGCGATTCCGATCCGGTTGTAGATTCTGCGAAGCACTGCTCTCGCTACGGCTAGTGTTAGCAAATTCTCTTAGATTAAGCCCTTGAGCTCACCTAACTGTCCTCGTGTAGTTGGAATAGTTAGGGCTACCAGTGAATAGGTAGTGAAAAAAGTATCCGCCTTCCGAAGGCTAAAAATGGAGATGAATGTCAGTTAGCGATCCCAGAATGCTGGTAAATTACTCAGAGTACATTTATTACTCGATACGATTTGTATTTAGTCTATCTTATATTGTATTTATTTTTCACATGTGTTTTTATGTAAGTTTATGAAGATATAGCCCCGTCCATGCTAGTTTGCTTATCCCTCTCCCTGCAAGGTTGCCTGGAAGGGATCGCTTTCAGCGATATGTCACCGTCTTTTATTTGTTTTTTATGTTTACTCTGTACATGTGGTGTTAAATAAAGAGTTATATTATTATTATTGTTATTACGCAGAGTATAATAGGCAGTGCTTATTAACTAATAAAACAAATTGTTTTGTTAAATTTAGAAACTGAAGTATGAACGAGCGAGGTGTGAGACGCGGAGCTGGGGCTCCGTTCTACGCTCCTCCACGAAGGAAAACCTCCGCTGAAATCATTAATGAGGCAAGAGCTGCGATTTTTGGAGGTTAGTTTCTTGTTGTCATAAGAAAGAAGTCGCGAATTCAGCTCACTCGTTGGAAGATGTCCCTCTCAGGGACAACTTTAATGCTGGGGACACATCAATTCGTAGAGGTGGTGGTAGTAGAAAAAAACAATATTGTAATGTCGGAAAAAATATAAAACTTATACGTAGAAATGTGTTTTTAAATGAACTCTTCAACGTAGTATTGAATTCATATAAAATTACAATTTATATAATTCTTAATTCTAAGCAATGTACACAATTCATATTTATAGTATATGACATATGGAGTATATGACAAAGATCTTTCAGCGAACAGGTGGAATTGCTCGATAGATGGTCCGATTGTTATTGCTTGGAACTTGTATCGAGGGGTGGATGGCTATATAACGCACACTATAATTGATACTCAAACTAAATTTCTAGTGATGGGCGATTAACGATTAATACCGCCGCCTATGAGAATCGCATCGAACAGGGCCGCATTTAGAGATCAGAAGGCCACGGAGCGGTGGCCCCTGGCCTCGAATTATTTTCCAAATAAAATGAACAATTTGTTTTAGTCGAGGCTAGTACGTGAGCTTACGGGGCTCGAAACCTGACGATGTTATGTACCACCGGATCGGAAACGCGACCCACTGAGAAGATCTGGCGAGAAACTCAGTGGGCTGTGTCTGTGGGTTAATTTACTCCCGCAAGCGACGGGTTCGACGAGAACAATGACCGGTGCTTGGGGTACCTAAAAGCACCATTAGTGGATCGGGAGATTCTCTTAGTATTTAACAAACATACATAAATATAATTGGAGACAATAATTATCGGAAATAAAATTTCGAAGCAAGGAAAAGATATTTACTAGTCTTTACTTGTCGGAATTTGAAAGTGTTTTTGTTCAAGTTCTCTATTGTAGGGGATATCCGATTGTGGAGGCCACGGGGCTTAAAAAAAAAAAAAAAAAGTGCCTAGTTTTTATTGGCTCCGGTTGCCCTTCCCTAAGTCCGGCCCTGTATGCGATGAAGAAAAAAATAAGTGCCTAGTTTTTATTGTTTAGATTTGCGTGAAAACTTTTCAATATTTAACACGTGTGTGCGACTGTAAGCGCTTAATTTTCCAACAAATCCCCTGCCAATCACAACGCCAATATAGTCACGGCACAAGTTAGGGTAATCTACATAAATATGATAATGAACGTGAGTCACGCGAACGCTATATTTGTGTTGAGTTTTATAACATCAAGAATAAGAGCGGATTTTGTGTGTCAAAAATGTAATTAAATTCGTTTCAATGCTGATAACAGTTTTCGGGACATCAGATTGATAACAGTTTGCATTTTATTTGCAAACTAAAAGTTAAGTAAAAATGGCTGAAAATTGACTCAACTTTTTGAAGGTGTATTTTGATTTAAATTTACTTCTTTAATTTGTTACTAATTAAGGAGTTCCGATAAACTTTTGACACCTGATAGATGTGAAGATCTAAAATTTTAAGTAGTTATTACAGTAATAATTTAATCAAGGAAATTGTTATTATTCCGAGTTGCCCAATTCGATTTGTATTCGAAAATTTCAGTTTAACCCTGAGGTCATGGAGGTCAAGTATTGTTGACTTGTCGCCATGGTAACCATCGAATAAGCTGTCACACTTAAGTTGCGATTTTATTATATATTTTCCTTGCACGGTATAATAATAACGAGACGGTAGGCGCTTGTAATTAGTACAGGAATAGATAAATAAAATAGACCTTGTTTATCTATTCCGTGAGTACAGTAAGGCGCGTACTTTTAAAATTATGTACGGTAACGGTTATGTAGGTAAGTGGAAAGGATGGATCGATTTAAATAAAATTCGAATGATTAATTTATTGCTTATGCTATGCTAAAAGATACGTCTTTATATTAAAAAACCGATTGATTATTCGATATATTACCTACTTGTTTTTTGTTGCCTTCATAATAATTACGTGTTTTTACTATTTTAAACTATTTTAAAACCTTTTACAAAAAGACAGACTGATCCAAGGGGCCAATCATCCCCTAAATTCAATTTAATACCTCTGTGGGTAAGAGCGCGAGGACATTATCCACGCGCATGAGACTGAGTGAGACATGTATTAGGATATATTGACTTCTCTGTCTCTCTATCTCTCTCTTACAGTTGACTCATATCAATTAATACTTTATATTAAAAGAAAATCAGTTAAAAAATAATTAATCAGGTAAATAATTAATCAAATTGTAGATGGAAATTGGCCCTTTCTTTTACGCGCACACCGGCGCGGCGCTGATAGCGCGCACCCCAACATTTACAACTTTGTAGATACAAAATTATCGTTTTTGGAAGCGGTCTCCTAACATCCAGTATACAGACGTATTCATGGTAATGATTTAACTCTACACCGAAAGATGTAGTTATATAATAATAATATATCATACTAGCTGTCCCGGCTGTCTGCCGTCTGCGTCGTAGTGCCTCAATCGATGAATAAAACACTTAAAGTTTTGTATAAAATAACCTTAAACAAACAAAACGAATCCGCCCGACGCGACGGGGGACACATCAAAGGAAAAACTAAATTGTTATTTTTATTTAATTCCGAGCATTTTCATATAATTTATCTATCTTATATATTTATCCTTTTAAACCTTCTCTGGACTTCCACAAATATTTCAAGACCAAAATTAGCCAAATCGGTCCAGCCTAGCCGTTCTCGAGTTTTAGCGAGACCATCGAACAGCAATTCATTTTTATATATGTTACCGGAAATGTATGAAATCAAGGAATTGTATACAAATCCTAGGAAATGTGTACAATTCCGATACTATTTAGGAAATGTATAAAATATTGTTTGAAAAACTATTTAATGCATAGATATCCTAGGAAATGTATAAATTTCCTCGGAATTGTATATAATTCCAATATCGTATTAGGAAATGTATAAAGTAAATGCTTTCTGTAATAAAACACGTTGTTAATAATATTTTTTTATTATAACACTTATTGAGACAATCGGGTAACAGTCATACCGTAAAATAATAATAATATATTCATATTATCTTACTAATTAAAACTTCTAAAATCAACTATCTATTAACTTTTAACGTATCACAAAATCAACTTATATTTATTCTTATAAAATCAAATTTTCATTTGGCAAGTAATCAGTCTGATAATTAAGTAATTATAAATGTCAAAGTATAAAAGTAAATCTTTATATTATAATACTTTGTCAGTCCATATAGCTATTTATTTTTGCAGGGTAAGCTCGAATGGCATTTGGAAGTACATAATACTTTATTTTTAAAACACAGACATCTTGATGTAGCACAGTTTTTCTTGCAAAGGCACTTCTTAAATCCCTGGCCGGTTCCAGTGGATTGCAAGTTGGCAACTGACCGTAGTGCAAGACTCGTCCCGCTGTCCCCGCGTACCCACCAATATCTTAAATGTTTTACATTTCCGATTGCTATTTAGGAAATGTATAGATTTCCTAGGAAATGTGTAATGTGTAAGTATAATATAATTTATTTCACACATTTCCGTGCGATTTTAGGAATTACATACATTTCCTAGGAATTGTATACAATGACGGATTACATACATTTCCGTTAACATATATATAAAATAGATTAAATATTCTTCGTATATAAAAACTATAATAACTTTAAAAAATAGAAGGAGTGTGTTATTTAAATTGCGAAATTATCGTTAGCTCGCTGGTTTCGCAGACATGAGCGGGACGACAAGCGAAGGCGGTAGCGTGGGCGGCGCGCTACGTCCGCTGCGAACACGACGCCCGTTCACACCCCGCGAACCGCATCGGACACTGTTCACTGACAGAACGCGGAAGAAAGATAACAGACCGCCGAGTTCGTTTGAGTATGTTTAAATAATAAATGTTCTAGTTTTCCAGAAACTTCTGCATACTTTGTATAGTCATTGGAGATTTATTGCGCCACTTTGAGAAGGCGGCACGACATGAGAACCCTCTTGTCGTGGCCGCTGGAAACTACAAACCCGATCCTGTAGACCGAATGGTAAACAGTCGACGTCGCCCAAAACACGTCATTACGGATCCTCCCGATCCATTAACGGTGCTTTTAGGTACCACAAGCACCGGTCACCGTCCTCGTCCCGACGCTTGCGGCGAAAGGCTCGACGAGTAAATTAACCCTCAGACACAGCCCACTTAGTTTCTCGCCGGATCTTCTCAGTGGGTCGCGTTTCCGATCCGGTGGTAGATTCTGCGAAGCACGGCTCTTGCTAGGGTTCGTGTTAGCAACGTCGTCAGGTTTGAGCCCCGCGAGCTCATCTACTAGTTACGCTGAAATAGCCTCTCAAGGCTCTCAGCTTAGGTAGGAAGAAAAAAAAGTAATTGGAGATTTATTATTTAGAGATTGATTACGAAATGAGATTAATTACGAAAAATGAACGTAATGCTGATTTTTTTCTAATAAAAATCAGTAAAAACAATCGCTGAGACTATCAGAATAATAAAACACATCGATCGGATGAAAAGCTTTTTTATTTAAGCGACATTTCGCTTGATACGTGATGTTTATCTTTGTAATCATAGGTGGGGTGGTTTTATTATTAGCATCAACAGTTCGATGTTTTTAGTTGAACTTCAATAAAGTTTACTCCATTTTTAAATTAAATTTTCGCATGCCTAAACAGGCGAAATATATGAAACTATGTCCTATATCCATAATATCTTGTAAACTATATTTCTGGCGAATAAAGATTTTCTTCTTCTTCTTCTTCTATTGAAATAGCTAAAGAAGTTTTTTATTATGATATTTTTTCCAAATTTTAAACATTAAATGGCTCCCTTGTAAACTTGCAAAAATATCCTTTCACCCCTCAATATCCTGTTCGGTTTTCGGGAGACGTAGACAAAATAAAACCAACATAATAAACCAACCCGAGATTAAAACGTAAAACTTGAATTTTAATTACGACTATTCTTAACATTTAAAAAGCCAAAGTATCGAGTTCTCTTGAATCTATTTGGTACTTATGTTCTTACAAAGAAAAATCAACTTTCTATTATTTAAATCAGAAATAAAGAGTTTTGTTATTGTGCTTAAAGTTATTTTGACTTTTCGTTGAGGAATTGATGAGTTATTTATTTTTCAACAGCCTCAAATACCTCACCTTGTCGGAAACGAACGAAGAGGAAACCCAAATGACATTCACACAAAACGTTGATGACTTGGATGAAGACACCTTAAATGGCTTACTTGGAGAATCACAGAACGCACGCAAGAAATCGATGGTAAATTCAAATTGAAAGTACACAATCAATACGTATCATTTTTTTTTATTGCTTAGATGGGTGGACGAGCTCACAGCCCACCTGGTGTTAAGTGATTACTGGAGCCCATAGACATCTACAACGTAAATGCCGCCACCCACCTTCAGATATAAGTTCTAAGGTCTCAGGTATAGTTACAACGGCTGCCTCACCCTTCAAACCGAAGCAAATTACTGCTTCACGGCAGAAATAGGCAGGGCAGTGGTGCCTACCCGCATGGACTCATAAGAGGTCCTACCACCAGTAAAATAAATGAACTGTTTCATTAATTGAACTTATTAGTGGTGTTTGCGAATAAGTGTTTGAAATTTCGAATAAATAAACGAACCCCATAGACACAACGCACTGAGTTTCTCGCTGGATCTTCTCAGTGGGTCGCGATTCCGATCGATAGATTCTGCGAAGTGCTGCTCCTTTTAGGGTTAGTGTTAGAAATTCTATCAGGTTGAGCCCCTGAGCTCACCTACCAGTCCGCGCGAAGTTACAATAACCCCTTCCAACAATTAAATAAGTAAACATAAATAATATAAACGAATTACACGCCGTAGGCAGCGGCTTCACTCTGCCCCTGACATTGCTGAAGTCCATGGGTGACGGTAACCACTCACCATCAGGTGGGCCGTATGCTCGTCTGCCTACAAGGGCAATAAAAAAAAACACGCGAGTTTAAACATTGATTAATTTTAGTGTTGACAAAAGTAGACCAGGAGCTTGCAAAATATGGCATGAGGAAACTTAAAACCTTTTTTTTTAACGACATGATTTAGATTTTCATAAACTGTAGTTACGTAACCAGCCGAAATCTGTACAAGAGCGTTCCGGCGATGGATGGAGTGGCTTCCCGAAGCTTCCACATCTCACTGGGAAGAGCAAGCCATTGCACAGACGTAACACTACCAGCCAATCTTCCATTGAAGGTATTCTATATATCTATACTAATATAATAAATCCACAGTGGTTTTTACGGATGTTCCGTTAGAACTACTGAACCATGCATCCGATTGACTTGAAACTTGGTATCCATGTAGAGAATACATAGTACTTAGTACTTAATGGATAGGCTAATATTTATATGAGTATTGGACTCCCTAATAATAATGACAATAAATAACAATGTTAATTTTAAATGCCCAGCGAACCAGACGAGTACATACGGCTATCACTTATAAAACTTGTCGAAGATTTGATTTTAATGTGTACATAAAATAATCAACCTAATACTAATCTTAATTAAATTAAAACTATTTATGCGCAACACTATATATTTTTATTTTAAATCACTAAATTAAATCAAATATTAAAATTTGTTCACGTCGAAACCAACGCCAATCAATAAATAATGATCTCATATGTGACTAGTTTTTTTGGCTTTAGTAGTTTTTAGTTCTTTAGTCCTTTATAAATAATTTATGGTCAGCCCCTTGCTTGCTATAACCTCAAGTATCAGTGACGTCACACGCAGTTAGTTACTTGTAGACGATGTGTTTAAAGTCTGAGGGGCACTTTTGAAAATCAGCACAGTCGGTGCTAGATGTCACCTCATGCCTCAACATTGGTCCTGGTAACCACGTAATACAAGATTAAGGGTTACCACATCTTAAAAATCTAAGGTAAAAGTAAAATGTATTTCAGAATCTGATTTATCATTTGCCATTTCGGTGACGAGACCTTTGGGCGGCGCCGATGGTGACGGTACAACTAAAAACCGAATGGAAGTGAACACTAAATGTATGTATTTATTTTCAAAGCGATCGATTTAGATCTAAGTTTTGTTCAATTTATTCAAAGTGTTTTTATTGAAGTGAAACTTCTAATGCGACTTCCAACATGGTTGCGTTAAATGTTTAACGCTACAATGGAATAGAAAGAGACAGAGCGAGAGTGAATGCGTGGCATTCGAACGCATGCGCTTAATACCTATACCTGTTACAGGCCAGCGTGAGCTATAGCAACGAATAGCGTCCAATATTTTAATGAAGTATTTAATAAAATATATACATACTAGCTTTTGCCGCGTGGAATAGTTACTTTGGTATAACGCTAAATTTTACCTCCCACTTCATTTACGTAGACAGTGAAAGTATTTTTGAATTATAGAATGTTAAGGAGCTATTTAAGCCCCTATTTTGAAACGTTCTTTATTGATGCTCCACTTGTATTGGTCTTACCGTGATATTATACAGCCTTCCTCAATAAATGGGCTATTTAACACTGAAAGAATTTTTCAAATCGGACCAGTACTTCCTGAGATTAGTGCGTTCAAACAAACAAACTTTTCAGCTTTATAATATTAGTATAGATATATTTATTTTTCTATCTATAATTTAATATATATATAACATAAATGTTGAAGATGTCGCATCTCTTATATACAGCATTCCTTATTACAAGAGCAATTTGATTTAAGGATGAAAAATGAAGAAAACCACAATAATACACACATCGAAAAAGAAGTTTCACTTCATTAACGTGCACCATGTTGCACGCTCACCTTTTTGTTTTTTTGTTTTTAATAGAAACTTAAATTAGCAAATATCTAAAATATGTTCCACGATTGACGATTTAAAATGTGTTACACGGTTACGTCGTCCGATAGAAATCGGGAGAATTTACTTACGTATAAGCCGATAGCCGATTGTAGGAAGGGCGCCTATTCTCTGCAGTTTGTGCTGTCTTATTTGAAGAACAAATAAAAATTATTTCAATAACGTCTGGTGAAGCTAGCATAACCCCTCATGGTTACTAGCAATGTGGAGAGAAAAAAATGTCAATGCCAAATCTTGAACCGTAATCTTCTTGATCGTTTGTGTTATTCATTATTTGGACAGCCCGAACAGCCTATACTGAGGCACTAGAATGAAGTCCAAGTTGGCTCAAGACCAGCCATGGTCAATGTAAAATAAATAAAATGTACTTTTTTTTATTTTTCTTTTTTTTATTACTAACACTTCATATGGAATTTAATTCTGAAATAAAAATTATTTATTATTATTATTAGTCTGGGACGATTTCGAAATAAGTTTATGTAGTTAAAAGCTTTTCGTTTTCTCGTTTGCTGCAGCCCTCGGTCCCGACACCAATACGCGCCCTAAGTTGATCTCGACCAAGTCTTCCCCCCATGACGGCGTCCCCACCGGTGCTCTCGGCAACATTGCCGTCAAACATTTAGCTGTACAGATGCCTACCACTTCTTCCGACAACTTCGACAAGTGAGAACCTAAGTTTTTGTATTTACTATCTTACGTGGGAAACTAGGATTTTGGTGAAATCATTTCCCAAACTTTAGTGATTGACAAAATAGGTTTAATCTGGAGGTCACCTACCACATATTCCAATTAGCGAAATTCCATTAGATAAAGAGATTGTATGCAGGCAGGGTCTTCTGTGGTGCCAATTAAAAAAATTAAGATGCCTACAAATTATAATATTATAATATTACCTACTTTATTTTAAGTGTGATGACTTTTTGAAGCGTATCTAAGTCGATAAAAATTACTGACGTTGATCTACAGTTATCCAACGGAAAAGTTTGAGAGCCTCTGTATTAACAAAACTAATATCAGCCTTGTCGATGGTATGCGCAATATGAATTCTAAGTACCACGATTTTCAAATCTAACGAATTCTTGATATTTCGTAGCTGTTGCAAGCCCCGTGGTCGCTCACGCGTAGAATGATATCGAGAACCAATTCAATAAGTATTGAAAATCGTAGTAAGAACCCGTTAAGTGATAGAGTGTGTAATATAGATGTACTCTAAGCCCGTCCAAAATAGTAACGGAGATCTCAAATCTCCTTAAATCAAAACAAACTACATGAACCCATATCGAATAGAAAAATGTGTATTCAAAGAAAACCTATCAAACTTAACGACTCTAATCCAACTCCTGCTGTAACTTGAGCACTTAAATCAAACATTCCGATGTACAAGATACACCAAGACCGCGATATCTAAAGAATCATTTAACATAGATGCGGCCTCTGACTGGCGACCGAGTCAGGACCCTATCAAGCAAAAATTAAGGTCGCTAATCGCTAGGTTTACAATCCATTTTTTTTCATAATCTGACTGAATTAAAATTAACATTAAAATGTTTGGACAGTATGAGTCTCCTGGAGCTCTCCGAAGCGTTATCCAATCGCGGATGTGGCACGAGTCGCACACTCGCTCTCATTGAAGCGGTACAGAAACTGGTGGACATTAATGTACCCGCAAGTAGTCTACGGGAATTAGTGCTGCGCTCACTATATACTCATATCGATAGTGAAGATGAACAGGTTCTTGTGGCGATCGCTAGAGCTATGCTAACGGTATGTTAATGAAATGTATTGAAAAAAAATTGCACTAGAATAATAGACGCAGGTCAAAGTTCAGGCTAATCCATGTCCATGTGATCGAAGTCGGCTATGACTCTTGTCTCATTCCTTAAGCCGAAACGAATAGCTATAATAGCGGCAGAACAAACCCAAAAGTTTTATTAGTAGAAGTTTCGCAAAGACCCATTGCAAAGATGGTCGGTTTCTTTTTCAATTCTTTTCAGCCGTTTAAAAATTGCGGTCGTAGATTCCAAATTAATGATTGTAAATAAATTTGTTCGATTTATTGTAAATAACATACTTAAAATGACCTAAATTACTTAACACGTGTTAGTACAGGAATACTGCTACTTTTTTCGCTTTGAAATTTGATTTGATTGATTTTAATTAATCGGAGAAAAACCGCCAATTTAATAATAGAAATGCAAATGTAGAGAGCTCGTTGGCACCGCTCACATCTAGTACTTTATGTTCTAGATGCGTGTAACTGGAAGTCATTTGGCGGCCGCTTGCAAATTGGTCTTCAAGATAGCGAAGAACGATAATAACGATCACTTCTTTCACGACACTAATTTACTCGGTAAGTTGGAGAATTTTGTGCTAAGACGCGCTGTCTGTGCTTGTGACTGTTCGAATAACTGAAGGCGATATTGTCTATGTCGATATTGTCAAGTCTGTGGAACTGACATCTCGTGTGACAGCATGTAACTTGGATTTTTTGGCGGTAACTCAAAAAGCGAAATGATGCAAAGCTATTTAAATATTTTAGGGTTAAAAAAGTGTAATAATGGTGGCATATCAATGGGAAAATACAACAAAATCGCTGGACTTTGCTTTTTGATTCTTCATAGTTCATAAAAGTCCACTGAAGTCTCACTAAATTAACAACGTAATACTAGGATATTATTTCATTCCACGACATTTGATTGAAACATTTTCATACCAATTGATTGAAATAAAAATAAAAAACTTGATTTCGTTCCATATAATTTCCTCTTATAACAGTGTATGTATATATAATTATAATAATCGTTTATTTAATAACTTCTATTTTTATATCTATCTATTAGCAGGGGATGGAAGATGAGATTTGCAAAGAACTTAAAACAGAATATGATAGCACGCAATCATGTTGTATTTTGATTTAATATACGTTGATCTATACAGTAGCAATCGACGCCGTCTTTTATTCTCTCGGTATCAATAAATTTCTGTGAAGCAGAACATGAATTAGTGGGAAAACTTTAGTGCTTAGAAAGTGGAAATAACCTCATTAGTTCTCATGGGCCAATATTAGTAGTAGCAAGACTAAGATTTGCGAATGCAGCTACCTCATCCCTAGCATCCGTCTGTAGTAGGTACCCTGTTCTATATTTGTACCTCATTACCTAAATCACTCTAGTTCTTAAGTACTAGCGATAGGGCATTCACCCCACAAATGACACACCACTTTTCTGCTAAGTTTTACTACGAAGCATTCCCCTGGACGTGGAAGCGAAAATATAGTTTTTGTAATAATGTAATAGAGGTGTAATTTGCTTTCGTCTCTGTGACTAGATTTTCGGATTGTGATATCCGAACAATGTCTCTTCAGTTTTGATTTTTTTTTAAAGGGCTTTTATGACCTGGTTACTAAGACCTTTAAGTCAAGTTCACTTTTTGAGTTCGTCGTACAATGTTTAGAGTTGTGCGTTGAGGGGTGGGGTCGAGCGGAGCCGGTACGCGAGGCGGAGTGCTGTGTGTACGGGGCGGGGGCGCTGCGGGTGCTCTCGCTGGTACCGACGCTCGCGACGCGCGCTCTGCGGGCCGGAGCCCTACATCTGGCTGCCCTACATCTGAAAATACTGAACAATGCTGTAATTACACACATTTTAACCGGCTTAAAAAAAAAATGTTGTTAATTCGAGTTCTAATTCGATTCTTATTTTATTTAAATTTTATCGAGACTTCATCAATAATTTTTGAGTTATCTTTAGTAATGAATTTTTTTAATAGCTTCCACTACATTGATGATATTCGCGTTTTACTTTGTTGAAGTCGGTTTTATTCTTTGATTAAACATTTGTAGTATTTTCTATTATAGTACACTGGAAAACAAGGTGGACTACTTGATTAATGTATATACATAATTAATTTTGAACGCCATCAAACCAGACTATGTGGGTTGAGGCGGTCTTGAGGTGGTCTCGTCTTATGTGCACTCACAGCACGCGTTTTATAGTATCACGCCGCCACTTTCCCTTTTTAAGCCTTGATTGAAGAAATATTTTTTGAAAACACTGACTACATCTTTATTATATCGAGGGTTGAAAGACTATTTCGTTTGCGCCTTTTTTGCAACTTTACAGACGTCCCATTTAAGATTTAAATTTTCGAAAAAATATCATTAAGCAAAACTTCTTCAGGTATTCA